CTTGCAAGGCTTTTTTGCTTCTTATAGGCATCTCACAGCTCTCGCCTTATTGCAAACAAATGCGACAGAAATATTCGTACAATTGTCTGTTTTCTGCAATATTTCTCGCAAACCAACAAATTTTGTTATTTTCCAGTCAATGCCTAGCGACTCGTCAATGTGTTGTGCTATGATAGCTTTCGTATTTTGTCTCTTCATAGAGGTCCTGGGGACGTATATAATATTTGATAGTGTATTTTCGCTACATAACGGACTGAATCAACTTCCAACACAAATAAATATGACATCTAAAGGTGGGAGCTTAGTCACACATAATAATGATGTCCGCGTGCGTATTTAGATGTTGGCAATTTTCTATCAGCATTTGGTGAAAATCTTTATTGTAAATTCGACAACGATGAACGACTACTGCGTGCTGAAACGAATCAAACCATAGCCAAAATCAAAAGTTTGGCGCAGTCACTGTGTTCTCAACTTGACACGAGCCTCATTGACTCCGTGCGTACAGTGTTCCATCCAAATGATATCAAATTTATCGTTTCCAGCTAGTTGAGAAAGAGCAGGTATTGCGAACAAACTTGAGTAAATGGAAAAAATCTCTGGAAGGGAGTGACGTGAATGTAGGAAGTGAATTAAGTACAGTTGTACGTGTTTCTGAGTCTGGTAAGAGAAGTTCTGCTAGGAACTGCAACAATTTCTAGGAGCAAGCATTGGACAAGTGCGCAGCCATGAAACATGATCTAAAAGAAACGCGCACTGCCTTGGCTGACTTACGTAATGAAGTAAGTTAGATTCATTACGGCGTTTTGCTGGTAAATGAGTAGTACCATTCATCTGTGTCGTTCTTTTATCTTGGTACCGTTCTTGCTGCTAACCTCATGTGTTACTCACATCGCCATCGAGAATAAGACCTGATCTGTAGGTAAACACAAATCTTTTCATTGCAGATCAAGTCTTCTTTCAATGAGACTGATAAACATCAAAAAGCAATTGTGTCTGAGCTGTCGTTGTACAAAGACATTATTGATGGGGTGAGTGTTGTTGAGTTTATTACTTAGTAAATGGCAGAAATATATTGCATAGCCAAGAATTTCCTAGAATGTGAGCCCTAAACAACAGGATTTCAGATGTTAGCCAGGATTAGCTCTGAAGCAAATCTATTTCGAATCAATACCTACAATTTTTTG